TATATTTACAAATAAAGATCAATAACCATTAAATATGAGTTACCCAAGTCCTAAGTAGAAGAGCAAGGAAAGAGCTACTCCCTCTCATTTTTCTTGAGACCATTAAACTGTTCCTGCTATCCAGAGAAACAAGTGAGTAGAACAAATCATTCTTGTCACTACTGGCATTCTGATCTGAAAACTGTAGGTTGCAAACCAGCATTTTCCTCTGTGTGATTCTCAGTGTTTGGCTATATACTTAATGTAGCCTTTTATAGGCAGGTTTGTAAGGAAAGTGCACCATCTTTTTTCCTTGTCTGGAGCTTGATGATTTCAGAAGGAACTGGTATAAAGATTATCCTAAATAGTGTACTGATACACGCAATATTTTTTCTGAAGTACATAGAGTATGTCATAACATTTTAGGTGGTGGTTTTTTTTTTTTTTTTCAAGGTTTATGCACACAACTAAATATCTCTCTTCAGAAAGATTTAATGAACTATGTAATAATTCCAATGAAAAATGAGTGAAACTTTTGCACATCTATGCAAATTTAGAATGTAATAAGACACTATAAAATCAGCAAATAAACAATATATATAGATATGTACATATATCTATATATATAAAACTGTCATAGGTCACCTCACATTGTTATACAAAGGTCTGGCTGAAGATTTTCTCCTCCTCAGGAGCAAATGTTATTTGTGAGGCAGTGTCCTTCAAGGGCGTGGTGTTCCCTGATGCTAAATATAATTAGCAGGTATTCTCTTCCTGCGAATTTCAGCTGAAACAATTTCAGGAGAGGCAATAGCTACCAAAATAAAGGTTCAAGAAACTCAGGTTTAAATATTATTTTCATGTTCCATAATAAATTGATACAGCAATCAATTGAAATGTCTCTGTGAATATGAATACTTGGATAGGGGTACATGGCTCGTTTTACTAAGGCAGTTAATATATTTGTGTATTATTTCCTTTTTCCAGATGCTCCAACATTTGTGTCAAATCAGACCATGTATTACTCTTGGGAAGGCAATCCCATCAATATAAGCTGTGAAGTGCTAGCAAATCCATCTGCCTCAGTTCAGTGGAAAAGAGGAAAATTAGTTTTACCAGTTAAAAATACGACACATCTGAAGACCTACAGTACAGGAAGAAAGCTGATTCTAGAGGTAAGGCTGAAAATGGAAATCAGACTGGTGACATTACTGAATTTCTTATTCTGTTTGTCTCCATTATAAGTACTACAGAGTGCATATAAGGCCAAGACTTAGAATTTAATGGGTAAAGTTAGCTTAAAAAAAATTATGAACTGATTTATCTCCATATTTTATCTGAGCAGTTGGAAAATAAACCTATTTGCATGGCTCATGCTCAGTTTTCCATCTGCAGTGAACAAAAATCTAAGTTGTGTGTCTTGTAGGCAAGTAAATACATATATAAGTGTAAACAGTCAGGTTAATGCTAAAAATTAAAGTAACAACATGATAGGTGCTTAGTATATGCAAAAAGATATGTGTAGCTCCAGTCAAGAACAGATCAGAGGAGTAAAGTGATAATAAACTGCAACTGGCTTTGATAAGATTTATTTTTCTCATAAGACTCCCTTCTGTTATCTAAAAGGTACATGTACGAACAAAACCTGAGAAAGGCAGAAGACAAAGAGTGGACCTTAATTAGCATTTACTTTACTATCTTAGCTTAACAGTGAACAACTCATTAATAGTATATAGCAAATCCTGGTCCTTAATTAATCATTTCACAACAAAATGTGTAACCAGTGTCTCCAGCTGTGGTGTTACTTCTTAGAGGGATGACATACTGTCTTCCTCCACAGGTGTGAAAGAAGTTAGTTTTCTTCATTTCTATCTTGTAGCAGACTTAAGTTTGAACCTAAGTTTCACAGGTGCCACATGGGAAAAGGTTGAAAAGCCATAGAGATTATGGAAGTTGAGAACCTGCTTCAGATCCTAAGCAAGAGGTGTATGGAACACTGAAAAAAAAAACAAAACCAAACCTGAAGTCCAAACAAGTAACCTTGTTTCTTGTAGTAAAGGATATATGTTTATAGAGACACAGTCTTGCACTTTTTTGAAGGTCATTTTTAGTTTTTTGTTTATTTGTTTTAAGTAAACCTTAATAACACAAAATATGGTTTACAGTCTGTGGTTGTCTAAGAGCAATTCCATTCTACCATCACTTGAGGTGCAACCAGGTACCTGGTTTCTAATAAGGTGCTAGCTCCCAGTGGTATCTATTTTCTGTTCTTATTCACCTGAATTTACAGTGCAGCCACATCCCTTACTTAGCCCCCTGAATGTCTGGGGTATTGTGAATCCTGCAAACAATAAAAAGTAAAGTATTATTCTTATATTACCTACAGGAATCAGCAATTTTCAGACCTTTGTTGCTTATTTCAGTCAAAGTATCAGTTTGTGCAAATAGCTTCTGTGAAAAAAATGTGAAGCTCATTAGAATTTTTTTTCTTGTTTAAAAGTGTCATTATAAAGATGAGCAATGTCACCTTTTTCCATTTTCATTATTTGACTTACTCATTTGAATTTGAGAAAGGGGAGTTGAATATGGAAAAGGGTGTATTTAGATCTGGGTTTAGAGAATATACTAGATAAGGAGAAGAAAGAATGCATCTGCATATCAGTTAAGGAGAACATATTTGCATTTCTAATTTTTTTTAAGAACTTTGATGGGAATCTAATATTTACAAACTCTCTTCATTTTTAAGATTGCTCCCACATCTGACAGTGATTTTGGACGGTATAATTGTACAGCCACAAACAGAATAGGAACAAGATATCAGGAGTATACACTTGGTCAAGCTGGTAAGTTAAGAAATTGTTTCTTTTTCTATATTTATTTTCATATTAATGGCAATTAACTTCAGACAGACTCTTCTCTGTTTATTTTATTCCAATGAATATTTACAGTTAATTTTAGTTCTCTAAAAGTTGAGTTGCACTGTGAAGTAAAATAAACCAGTTCCCTCAGAATATGAAACTTCTTTGGATTCTATTTTAAGGCCTTCTGAAATTTGAAAAAGTTAAATTAGTCTAACTTTTTTTCTTTTGCCCTTACTACATCTGGAATTCATATTTGTGTATTTTCATTACTTCAGTGGAGAGACATATGTTTTGCAGGTATATAAAATAGGAAATAATTTGAAAAGTCTTTTTGCCCTTTCTCTCCCTGGTATTTTCTTGATAAACCAAGTATGTCAAGAGGCTGAAATACTTTAGCAAAGAATTTCTATCTTTATTTGCACTTTCAGTTATTTAAAAGCAGAATTTTACTCAGAGTTCTAGACTGAATTAATTTAAAGGAGTTACAGTGCAGCTCACAGTACCGAAGGTACAGCCATACTGAAAGATCCATACCCCTTGTGATGCATTGTTATGGACCATTTTCTACATGTGGCTTTCAGGTCATGCCATACTGCCAGGCTGGGTGATAGGTACTGAAGAAGACAAATACAAATAAGGTTTTGTGTAATTTGTCTTTAAAAAGTAGGACTTCTATATTTCTTATGATCTTGGGTGCTTCGTCTGTAGCTTTGGGGTTTTTTTGGTGGTGTGTATTTATTTGATTGGTTTTGTGGGGTTTTTATTTACATAAGAAAATAAAGTCTTTGGAGGTCTGCTAGGAGAAATTTTGGAGGTACATCGCTGAGATGTGCACATCCAGTCATAAGAATGTCCTCTTACCTGGCCTGGTGTTTTAATTTTTATAGTTCTGCTCAATAGGGTAATTATTTTCTTATGGTGTCTCAGGAGTTATAAAAACTGTTACTAGGATGTTTCTTACAAGTTGTATACAGCACTGAAATTTTTTCCAGTTATCTCTAGAGGATGGATTACTAGAACACAATTTTACTATGAATGCTATACTAATTTTTTTGTCTTTGAACAATGATCAAAAGAGCTGACCTTCCTAAAATAAGAAAATGTGGTTTTTTTTACTGAGAAAACAGTGGATTTCTGTGAGGAACAATTTTACATCATCCAGAAGATCCATCCCCCTTTATTTTGTGACTTTTTTGGGGTATTAGCTGTGTTGCAAGTCTGATCTTCCTTCATTAGATACACACAACAAGGGAGAAATACATTACCTATTCTTTCTGCATGTAACCATCCTTAGTCCCAGCTAAGTCCTAATTTCATACAAAACATTCTTTACTTTCCACCTTACAAAACTCTCTGCAGTATAAGGACTCACACACTCCCATTCATACCTAAAATAATTGTATTTTTTGTGAGAAGAAATTCCAGAAAAGACCAATTTGTAGCATCTTAAGTCATGTTCACAATCATTTTCCTGGTTGATCCCTTTTATTTCAGTGGAATTACTTGAACAGTTGGGTTTCTGTATTAGGGAAAAATGGCTGTAACAGTTTGTGGGTACAACATGGCATTAAATCTGAAAAATTAATACACCCTGTGACGTTCAAAATTGAGGTAGATATAGAAAAGCTCTAAAATTTAAGGAAAAGCAGTTAATTTCTATACCAACTGTTCTGTCTCTAAGAACACTCAAGACTTGTAGGTAGTATTGATTTGAACAGGTAAATTCTACCTATTATTTATATATTATCTTTACTGTAATTTAATTTAGGCAGTAGATTTAGGCTTAGTTAAAATATCAGGACTTGATTTTCTAAATATTCATGAGTGGCATCAGATTTGCGGAGTTACTTTAATTTCATCAAACAGAAGGATGACATGTAACCCTCTGATTTTTGTGAGTTAGAACTGTTTCTTTTCAGTAGCATGTTTTCTCTTTGGGGCAGCACATACAGCCCTTGATTTGACAGCAGGACTAGTTCTGCCTGTCCTGCTGGGCTAGGTGCAACACTTGTCTCTGGAGTATCATCTCTCAGATTTGTTACATGTGAGGCTTCACTGGAAGGGAAAAGCAGTAGCACAATGTGAGAGCTCCTACAATAATTTCTCAATTTCTCTCAAAAATGGAAGACTTGCCACTGAGAAATCTTGCTTAAAGCTGTAAAGATAAATGATAGGTAAGGGAAAGAAAAATCCCACTTGCATCCCTCTTGTGTCTTATCTCTCAGGACAGAAAGAGATGAGAAAATGGTACAGTTTTGCCCATCATAACAGAAGAACTCAGGTTGAGGTTATTTCTGAGTTGTTGATACACAGAATATGTCAGATGTATTCTATATCTGCTGATTTTTCTCTCAGATTTGGAAAACAGTATTGCATCATAATGCACGATGATTATTTTAGCTACGTATTTATTTCCAGCTTTCACAGTTCATGTTAATAGACAATAATTATTAATAATTGAAAAACAACATGATATTTTGATCATGTGTTGCATTTAGGCAAATCCTTATGAGAGCCCCTGAAAATGCAAGTGAGAGCAAATGACTCCATACAAGCTATAATCCTGTTTTAGCTTTTTAATGCAACTATATCAGAGATGTTACTGATGCCAATTTTTCAAACAGCTTACTATTCTCTACTTCTGCAATGGTTTACTTAACATTTTTCAGTCAGTTCTTCAGAAAACTTTATGCACACTTGAAAAAAAAACATATATTTGAGTTATAAACATAAAGAGGTAAATCAAGTTACATGTACTGAGTATGTAATGAATAAAGAATTATGGGAAGATATGTAAAGCATGAGTTATATATGGACAATCAATATGATTATATGAAATGCAGAAAACAGAATAAACTCAAATCTTTTATCCTTAGCATAAGGCATTTGCAGTGTAGTATTTAGTGGGTCTGGAAACACTGGGTTTGGGGGTGTCAGGGCTCGATTATGCCAGGCACTACTTGAAATAGAGTAATGCATAATATTCAGTATTCTGAAAGATTGACATTTCTAGCATTTGCATCTAAATAGACCTTTTGGGGGAAAATAAGAAACGTAGTTCACTGTTACATGTTTTGCACTTAAAGTGGCATCATCTGGAAATGGAAAAACAACCAGGGAGATGGAAGATAAAGCCATTATAAAAATAATGATGGGTGTAAAATGTCAAATACATCTTTCTTCCTGGTTTTAATACCTCTGTTGTTTTACTTTGGTAGATTAGGAGGCTCTAATGATTGATATTTTCCATATTAAAGCCTATAAAATGTTTTCATGCATTTCAATACAGCCTGGTTTTCCTTCTGGCTTTGATTGTAAATACTGGTGCTGGTGCATAGCATACTTTCCTAATGGCTCTATCAGGGAAAAATAAATACTGTTCTAGCTGGGAGACAGCATTAAGCAAAGTATGCTGCTAGTGTAAATTTTACAAATAATGATAATTTTGCTAAATAGTTTTCTTAGAATTCGCTTCCATTTTTCTGCTTTGCTGCTTTTCAGCAGAATCAAATTACCTTTTTTTTTTTTTTTTTTTTTTTTTATTTTACTGCTGGTTAAAAAGTGATCATATTGTCACAATGCCATTACCTTTATTTGTTGCCCTCCCTGAGAAATTAGACTTAGTGATGATAGAAAAAGATCTTTCAAAATATAGATGCAGTTTGCAACCATACCATTTTGTATGACAGGAAAACTATACCTGTTCACTCAGACTATACAAAGCAACTGAATTAGCTTGAATTCCAGACACTTTGGTTTAAACCTTTCAGAACAATTGAAGAACTGCAGCCTATTTAAGGTTTCATACTGGAATGTGCTGGCCATTACTGGTAAATACTGAGAAACTTTGGCAGTTTTTGAAAGCTTAATCAGATGTGCTCACCACCTGACTTGTGGAGATCAATTCTTAAAAATACGATATGGTTGACACCTTCCTTCTTCATTGCTTAGGCATTTAAATTGCTGTGTGTAACATGTAGAATGCAAAAAAAAAGGAATCACAACAAAGGTCTTTTTGGTTTCTAGCCACTGAAAATTGATTGCTTCACATCACAACCACGACATTTATTTTAGAAGTCTACTTATACTTTGTTTTTTCTCTATAACAGGCTTAGGTTTTGGCAAGCCAGATGAGCTTGGCAGATTGTCCCATTGGCTTTCAGAGCCTGAGGTGAGCAGAGACATTCCTAGATTTGTCCAGATCTAGTTTAGTGGTAGTTTATGTGACTTATCAGTATTCAGAGAGATAGTATTAAGCAACAAAACATTTTTCCTTTTTGCTGAGATCTCATAATTTTAAACGTTGTTGTATAGATAGATAGAAAAGTCATATAGCCATCAGTAGTCTAGGACTTTGTTGTTGGAATAGGCAACATCTTAAACTGGTTAATGCTAAGGTTGTGACAGAGAGGTAAACTGGTGTTTTTTAAGTAATTTTTTTCTTTACTTATGTGTGGCGTGTGCATAACACTATACAGCTGCGCTGAATGCAGAGCCCCTAAAAAGTAAACCATGATCCGCATCTAAGGCTCTTATAGCCTTACTCATCCTAGGCTTCTCTTTGCCTTTCTGTCTTCTATTCTGAGAGAGAGCAAAGAGGTTAAAAGTTCAGATAAATAGTCTGGTTCACCTTTTTGCCTCATTTTTTGTCTTTCAGTCTTCAGGATTGTTAGGTTTCTTTTTCTGTGTAACTTTTCCCTTGCTGCTGCCAAAATCCCATTTAGCTCCACAAAAACAGGGACAGTTCTAAAATCTAGTTCTCTGTTGTAAAACTTGCCATTCACATCTCTAGCACCATCAGCTAAAGGATTTTTGCTAAAACAAACAGCAAAATATTTTCCATTAGCATATGTGTGAAACTATCAACACGGCGACAGTGTTTTGCTTTCTGTGCACGTATCTAACTTTCATTTATTATTTATTATATTCACTTGCTAGCTGTGCTCCTGTTTCCTAATCCTTATTTTTCAAGAACTTTCAGTGATGTGGTAAAAGAAACCTGTTGTGTTTTTTCCCAAGCAAAGACATTAAGGCAAGACTGAGCCTAACCTGTAGATTTAATATTGATTTTTTTTTTTTTTTTTTTTTTTTTCCCCAAGGATGTACAAGCATGAACTACTTTATGGAGATTTTTGACTGTAAAGGACTGCTCCCCAGCTCCATATCTTTCCCTGCCATGGTCCTGTTAGTACTTGCGTTCAGCATTTAGACGTAGTTACTTTCAGTCAGTATATGTGCCAGATACACAGAGACAGAAGAAGCTGCAAAACCAGGAACATATTGACAGGAGGTATGAGAAAGAAGCTAACTGAAAGATAAATCTCTGATCCCACTACATACTCTTACACTGCTGCTTCCTTTTCTCAATTTACACCAGGATAGATAAACTCTCAGAAGGAAAATTATTTTCTCCCATAAAGCTGTCCAAAACATAGCTTGAAAAGAAAATCCCCAGTGATAAATGGTGGTCATTTATTGAACAAGTTGGGTGATAATAGTAATAGACTTGTATCTACGTATCACTAGAGATAAATATGTACTCCTAATTCTGTGTGTATTTCTCTATCAGCTGCAATGTTTTTGGAACGAAACCAATACTAATTAATTCAGGCCAATATGTTACAAAATTCATTTATGCTAGCCAACTTTGTGCACCGAGTACAAAATACGTCAATCGCAATTTTACCCTTATTATTTGGGGATCATTTTTTATTATAATTTTTAAGGAATTCCTTAACATCACATGAGAATATAGTCACATACTGAACAGAGGAATAGGCGCTGTAGAAAGAAGATGAAGTTGATTAAATGTCTGACATGTGGCTTTTTTAATGACTTATTTTAAGACTGAGCTTTTGGTGAATTATCCCATGTTTTGGCAGCAGTATAATGACAACAAAGACAGGAGTGGAACTTCTAAGGAAGTATACCAGTATACGTGTGCTACCACTAAGAGATCTTCCATACTTTTTTCTGCTCTATAGTCCTTCAACTTATATCTATAACAGTGTATCAGAGAGTAATCACTGCCCATAGTTCTATTCCTCCAGATGCAGCCTTCAGAGTATACAACTTTGCAAATTATTCTTCACTTCTGCTAAACATTGAGACAAAAGCCTTACAATTCTAACACAAAAATGATGGCAACACTCCATGTAATTTTAGCTGATGGGACACTGTCAACTGCATAAAAGTTACCTATGTGTGTAGGTTGCTTGGTTTGTGTTATGCATATTTAAAATGGTATTGTGGATATATTTCACACTTAAATGATTTTTAAGCACATTGTATTGCACTAGTTATGCAAAATATTTTACTGGGTTTTCACAGGGGCTTCGTTTTATTCTTATGACCAAATGGAATCATATCTTCATTTGTCAGAAGTTATATTTAAATCTGCAGTAGAGAACATAAGGCTCTTCCTGAAGGATGTCTTCTTCCTTATGCCACGTTTGTTATAGTTAATCATACACAGACATAAACACATAAGGAAAAGAGATCTCCTTAACATTTTGAAAGCCAAGAACAGAGTGAATATGTAAATAACACATTTTTGTTTCACACTGGTGACCAAATAATTGTTTTGATCCACAGTGAAGGAACAGTGACTTGCCTGATAAAAGGAGCATATAAAAACTAACATAAAAATACCCTGATTGAAATTAAATATTAATTCAACCTTAAACCAAATTTTAGCTTGCAATTAAAGCCAATGAACCTCCATCTCCAGTACTGCACAGCAGTGTTCATCTTCCCAAGTGGCTGGCATCCACTTTGCTCATACAGTGTCATGTTGCTTTGCTTTGGCCATCCTAGATTTCTTTACTGGCATTCTTTTGTTGCATTGTTCCCACACCTTTCAGAACAGCTTAAGGTACTGTCAACACTGGGGAGAGGAATATTGCTGTCAGGCTGTAACGAGCACCTGGAGGAGAGGGATCACAAGATGGTTCTAATCCTCATCCTCCTCTGTTTTTAGTATCAATGCTTACTTCTGTAACTAATTCTTTTTCTGTGTGATCACACAAAAAAATCTCTATGATTTTTGAGTGTATTTTCTTTTTAATAAAAATATACAAACCCTCAACTTTTTGATCAGTTTAGAAAAAGAATCAAAACCCAGGTCTGTGTTATCCTGGATGCACAGCATACTGGTTACATTTGGCAATGTTCTGTCTGACCATCAATCTTGAATTCCTTTCTGCGGAATAATGCAGCTTCACTAAGAAGGATGGAAATTTCCTGCAGCATCCCATATCCCAATGAAATGTCTGTTTCCTGGAATAAGGATGCAGGAAAGGATTGGAGGGTTTGAGTCCCTCAAGCTGAGATTTACATTCTACTCAAATCTTTAATGTCATAGATTCATATAGTTGTGTCTTTAAGTAAAAGATATTAAAATTGTTCATCCATGTAAATAAATCTATGCTGATTTTAACCCAATGATCACCAAGCATTGGAGGTTTAAGGAGGCCTATATATTTAGAAATGCTAACTGTAAGAATTCACAGAGGTATGATATTAGCATTAAGACACTCAATTCTGATAACTGTTAGAGATTTTTTCTAGAAAATTTTAGGTTTCTGATTACTAAAAGGTTATACAAATCAGCTCCTCTAGAGAAACTTTGGCAAATGTCCTCTCCCTGAGAATTCATAGCTTAATAGGTCCTTAAACCCATTCTTTAATATTTTATAGAAATTTGGACTCATTTTCATTCAAGTACCACTACTGAGTGAAGCTCAGATGGACTGTGATTTTAATCCTTACTATCTAACAACCCTTGAATAAAGACCACATTTTATGTGAAAGGTTCAGTACCCACTAACCAAATCATAGGCGTTGGCTCAAATTCCTCCATGTCTTTGTAAAAGTATCTTCCATTCCATGGAGACAAATGCAATGTCAAACCAGTAAGTAGGTATGCAAATAATTGTCATATTATCAGAAGATAAATTTTTAATGGTGTTTCAGATACCTGGTATTCTGTCCACGGAACTAATTTTCTTTCTAGTATTTTCCATACTTCTTTTTTTTTTTTTAATTTAAATTCTAACACTTTAGAATCAAGGACAACTGGAAAAGTTAGGTTTTTATCTTCTATGTGTTAGTTTGGTCATGCATTTGGAAAGTAACTTGAAGTTTCTATTTTTAAAGTTGTACTGACCCCAGGATTAATTTTTTACTTTTGTTTCATATCTAGCATCTCAACACTTAGAGACGCATAGAATATAATCATAGAATCCTTTAGGTTGGAAAAGACCTTTAAGATCATCAAGTAAAACCATTAAGCCCTTAGGGCTCTAAAGTCCTCTACTAAAACAGATCAGAATCTGTCAGGGTTGGAAGGGACCACAAGGATCACCCAGTTCCATCCCCTCTGCCATGAGCAGGGACACCTCCCACTAGATCAGGCTGCCCAGAGCCTCCTCCAGCCTGGCCTTAAAGACCCCCAGGGATGGGGCCTCAACCATCTCCCTGGGCAACCCATTCCAGGGGCTCCCCACTCTCATGGGGAAGAACTTCTTCCTCACATCCAGCCTGAATCTGCCCACTTCCAGCTTTGCCCCATTCCCTCTAGTTCTGTTGTTACTCGATATCCTAAAAAGTCCCTCCCCAGCTTTCTTGTAGGCCCCCCTAAGATACTGGAAGGCCACAATAAGGTCACCTCGGAGCCTTCTCTTCTCCAGACTGAACAGTCCCAGTTCTCTCAGTCTGTCCTCATAGGAGGGCTGCTCCATCCCTCGGATCATTCTGGTGGCCCTTCTCTGGACACGCTCCATTTTGTAGTTCTTTTCTTCTTTGAAAGATAGGCAGTTGCTTGTGATTTCAGAGAAAATGTTTCTTTCAACCTATTCTGCAGTTTATTTCTTAAACTGAAAGGAGAATAGAAACCGTCCATTAATATTCCTTTTTCATAGCTTGGAATCCAATCTTTTTTAAAAAAGAAAAAAAAAAAAAAAAGGATTAATGTTTTCAGCTGTATTTCAGGGTTTCCTAAAAATGGCTAAATTATTTCTCCAGTTTTTGTCATAATCTCATTTAGTAGAATTCGGATTCTGAATGATCTATTTAGCCATAACTGTTCCTCTTGTTAAATTTGACTTAAAGTTTGTTATTCTCTTTTACATAACTATACAGTAAACAAACTAATCTCATTCCTTTGCCAATGACAAAAGTAGCTATTAAAAAAGATCATATTATAAAAGAAAGGCAGAAGTGGATAATGTTTTTGCATAATTTTACCATGCAATAAAATAAATGTGATTTTCCTACAACTGTTTCAGAAAGTTGTTTATCTAACACAAACATTATTACATCGTATTCAATATTTATTTTTTCTCCCTTCAAGATGGCAAGGAGGCTTTTTGGGGTAGATTATCAGCTCTTTAGGTCTGTCTAGTTGCTGCTGATTATTAAATTGATGTTTGTACTTTTTTAGACGTGCCATCTAATCCTTCTGGAGTACGAGTTTTAGAGTTGTCACAAACCACTGCCAAAGTTTCCTTCAATAAGCCGGATTCACATGGAGGTGTGCCCATTCATCATTACCAAGTGGATGTAAAAGAGTTATCCTCAGAAACCTGGAAAATAGTTCGCTCCCATGGAGTTCAAAGTAAGTATTCAAACAATTAAATAAAAGTATTTTAACTGAAAAGAATGTTAAGGGGAAAGAATGCAAGTGTCTGTTGAATAATTCATTAGTCCTGTATCTCTATCTTCAGTTAATATTGCTGCAGACCTCTTTACGCTGATTAGGCATCTTACTGTGATCTTGTAAAAGTCAGCCGGTACCTTTTAGTTTTAAAAAGGTTGGTGAACAAGTTTACAGTCATTTTGCATTTTTCACTGCCCAGTCAAGTAGATATGAAGAATATTTTTGAAGCTATGAATTTCAAAAAGAGTAGGAATCATGGAGTTAGTTTGAGAATGTGCATTAGATGTGCAGTTGACTTAAAAATTTTAAGTGAGCTATTATGTGATATTTAATTCTGGGCAATAATTGTGGATTTTGAGCTACTTAGTATCCTTTCTACATACCTGTTAGTATTAATGATTTCTGTTTAAAAAGCCTATTTTTAAAGTATTAAAGTATTGTTCAACAAACATTGAATGGTGTCTTTGCACTTCTCTAAAGGCAGAGTATAAACCTCCCCAAACAGACAGGAGTTCTTTAAGCATATGCCAAGGTGGAGTGTTTATACAGAGTAATGTTAAGGAAATACATTCAACAGATCGGTAATCCTTTACATCCATATTTACCTTTCAGTGTTTTTAACAGGTAGTGCAAGTTAAAGCACCCCCAACAGCTTTCTGATTTATACAGCAGGAGGTGAATGGTTTTGCAGCTATCAGCACAGTGTTGGGAGAAAAATGTAGCAAAAGATCTAATGTATGTTGTCTCACTTTCACATCCCGTAACTCAGACACAAAAATTCTGCACTAAGCAGAGTATGTCCCATATTACAGAATTGTGTCTAAAAACATATAAAGAACATGTCATTAAGATATATTCAAAGAAACATGACTTCTTATATTTTTTCTTAACCACACTGTGTGTGTATATGTAATACTGTAAGTCATAGCAGCATTCATTTTAGTCCATTATAGCTTGTATTTTTTTCAGTACTAGAAGATGTTAAGAAGTCAGCGTGTTTCCTCTAGTTGCAGTGCATTCACATTAATGGGTATTAGTGTACCTCTTCCCTTCTTTTCATGTTGTTTCACACTAAGTTTGAGACTCTTTTTCTCATAACTACTTCCTTCATTTAATTGGTAATAAACTTCGGTCCTGGTTCCGTGTAAAAAGGGGTTCAGGGCAGGACCCACACGGAACAGAACTATGTACTCGCCTCTCCCCCCCCCCCGAGGGAGGGGGACAATTTGGAAAAAAAAAAAATGTATATTGTTCAACAAGGAACAGAAAACGAAAAAGGGAGGTAAGGAAAATAATATATACAAAGATTAGGGGAATAATACAAAAAATAAAATATACAAAACCCTCAGGAATGGTTCCAGGGTCCCACACAGTGAAAGGAGAACTTTCCTCTCCGAGCTCCAAGGCAGGAGTGAAATGAGAAACCACTCCCTGCCTCTTATCAGAGTGTGTGTGGGAAGGGGAGGGAATACAATGGTTTCACCCCCCCCCGGGGTCCTCCCAGTTGCGAGAAGGTCACGACCCCATTCCAAGCCTCAAACCACAACAACTTCTCTAATGAGAACTACAGTATGCCAGGTACTAAAACCTGAAGTGACCAGTCTGTGTAGTAGGGTGCAATGTACTCAAATGAGAACAAACTCAGTGACTACAGAGTGCAATCACACAGGTGCTTAATTTAAATGTAAAGCCAGAACAAAAAAAGAAAGTCCTCAGTATTAGCTTTGTTTTTAGCAAGGTGTATTTACCTTGCTCCCTAGAACACTGTATTTCCTATTACTTCTATTCACGTCAAGTTTAAGAAAATGTTGATTACATTAGGAAATATGTATAACTTTACAGACCCTTGATGTTGTTAGAGTTGACTGGACCTGCCTTCTTCAACAGTGCACGCTTTGATTTTGAAACATTATTTTAGTGTTATGTGTTTTTAAGTGGGTACAGATAATTTCAGACATTTCTGTCGAACATGAATTGATTTTTTTTAGAATCACTTTAGTGCAATACCTGTTTGAATTGTATGGTAATTTAATCTAAAAACAGAGTAGAGTGGCAGATACAAATACCTGCAGTCCTTATGAAGACAATACCACTATAAATTAGATGGTAAGTATTTAGGATCTCTGCTGCCATCCCTACAAAAATTGAATATACAGCTTCTTTGAGTAAATCTCTATATTAGTTCCTGCATGCTTTCATGTTATTTCAACACATCTTCCTTTTGTGCAATTTGCTTTCCCTTTTTTTTAATTTTTTTTTCCTCCTTTCTCACTTGGAAGTTTTCAGGAATTTTACATTCTTTCAAGCATGTATTTCCCTCTTCATTCCATTGTCCCTCAACTGTAACACTGAGAGGTTTTTTTGAAAGAACATTATAAGTCACACGCTGGTTTTGGACAGCTTAAAGATACCTCTTAATAGCATGAAATTACCAGACTACTCTGAGTGATGACAAAACCTGTTAAATATGAAAAAAACCTGTAAAGTCATCTTAGTCTGCAAACAGATATACTTAAATAGACAAATACTGGTGAGGTAAACTTTACTGAGATTATAGTGGGAAATACTAAAAATTTATGCTTGATCCATAATTGATTCACACTGTTTTCTGAAATTTCTGTACACTCCTGCATAGGAAGACTGCGATTGTATAGCCTGTATTTCTCTGAATTTATTAATAAACTACCTTAGAAATAAAAAACACTACTTCAGAATTTCAAATATTTGTTTAGCAGGAGGCAAGCTGTTTTTGTAAATTTTGGTTTTCCACTATGTAATTTGATAGGCAGATTAAGAGGAACCTGGTTGCATTTATCATAAGTTCCTGCAGATACATGTACAAGATAAAAACTTGTTCTATTTGTCAGGTACTATAGAGCCAAACTAGAGGAAGGTGTGTTACAAAAACAGACTGAACAGCCCAGAGCAGAAAAGCATCTTCACAGAGAGAGATGTCAAAAAAACAATATTGTTGTCCCTTTTTTTAAAAAATGAAGATAATGTGAAATGTAACTGGAATCTTTCTGAAAAAAAATTCAGCCTTTACTTGCTTCCTGAGCATTCAGAGGGTTTCACCAAGTTTTCTAAAACATCTGTTTAAAATTTTCTCCATTCATATTTTAGCATACTTACAGTGTCATGGTAGGATAACATTCAGATACTCTCTTCCAAATCCCTGTTTTCAGTTTCTGAAAGAATTCTTAAAGAAGGTTTTCTTAGTGTGAAGGCTTTTCTTTTTTTTTTTCTGTATAGCTTTTGATGAATTTGGAATACATGTAAGTCTTTTGAATGACATTAAAAACAAAACAAAACAAAACAAACAAACAAACAAAAAAACCCACGTTTTTGAGAGTTTCTTAATGTGTTTGGGTAACTAAGGACCTGTTTCCTACCACACCTCATCCTCTTAACTGAATGTGGAGGATGCTTAGATTGTACACAGTCAGTATTCAATATTAGGATTTGTAGTTGGGTTATCATAATTTCCATACTTGATCTGTATTCCTTAATGGAAACAAAATCACTTTGTTCATCTGGTCACGTTTTAGTGACAAGTTTTTTGGCTAAGATTCAGATGAAAACGCTGTTTACACAGGGACAGTTAACTGCTTGCACGTATCAACTAATGATGCATATGTAATACATGAGTCAAGAACTTTTCCCAGCAGCCAGTGATAATTTATGCTGAAATTTTACAGGATGTCGTTTTATTAGACCGATTTAACTCAGGAGTGATAAAACAGCACTGCAGCCTTTTCTTTCCACAGTGTAGGTAATGTGTAAATTCTAAGACCTTATTTTAAGGGACAGAGAGAGACAGACATGCAGGGAAAAGTTGTCCCTGGAAGATTCTTAGCCTTCCAATACAGAGACCGTTAAGGCTAAACTGGATCTTCTGGTCCCTCTGTACTATGACCAGTAGGAATAGCACACTTGTCTTCATACAGGCACAGAGAAGAGCCATAAACTCATAAAATGTATGAAACCTGTATTTTTAAATGAAACAGTCATCATGGAAATGTAACTACAGAAGTAAATTTATGAAAAAATGTTAATAAATGTTTAATAAATGTTTAAAAAAAGTTGTTGAAAGGAATTACCACTAATGCTAGGAAGTCATTAGTTTTTCTTGTGATGTTGACCCAATAACTACGCATAAAGCCATCTACAGGTAGGATTATCATTGTCGAGTTTCATTTATATGAAAAATACAATAGATGTTTACCAAAATTGTTAAGCATTCTTATGTAATCGGTCATCCAGTAAATGCAAATAAGTTTAATTGGAAAAATTAAGCAGTATGAAATGAATTCTGTGTAAATCTATTCAAACAGCCTTCAATGCTCTTCAACTAGAATGAATGCTGCTGGTTTCTTCAAAGAATCCCTCAAAAGGTGGCTTTTGTCTCAAACTGCACTAGTTTAAGCTGTTTTCAGATCAAATTAAGGAGAAAATCCCAGAGTCTTGGAGTTGTAGCCAAGAATATGTGTTCCCTGTTCCCTTCCCTTTGTCTTTTATAATGAAGAAAATTTCATTTGAAAGTCTGTGCTGATTGCAGCTATTGAAGGGGAGCACAGAAAGTGAAGCAATCATTCTCATACACCAACTTTAGACCATTTAGGGATTTAAAAGTCATAGCCAATACTGTCACAGTTCATGAAGAGAACAGTGAGCAAGTGGTAGCTAGATTTTTCTGCACTTGGTAGGTGCTCTTCTGAGTATGAAAACTGTTTTGTTGTGGGCTACCTTCAAGTCTCTGTATACCTTTACTTTGGTCGCAGTGCAGTGAGGCTTCAAGGGGAGGTCACTAGGCAGGGGCAGTCAGGACTAGCAGTGCCCTCAGGGCACAGGCATTTATGACCCTGTCAGTACTGCAGTGAAGCCAGAAGTGCAGGTAATATTGTCAAGGTTTGTTCTCTAAGGATAGTTTTCATCCTTTCAGCCAGACAGCTAGTAAA